TTGGTTTTTGTGGGCAGCAAACAGTTGATCTTTTGAAAGCACCGCTTCCTCTTTTTTTCTTTCTTTTTTATTTCCCCGTTTCCCCAATCACAACCAGACCTGACTCCCCTTTTCTACTTTTAGAATATCCTCTCACACTCCTTGTGGCCAGAATTCAAAACAAATGCTTCGATCCCCACTGTGTTCTTATTCATGTGTTGGATTTGTATATTTCCTTCTGCCGTCTTTTAGGTTTTTCCATGTTTTCTCCTCCTATTAAAAAAAACAACAACAAAAAACCAGGACATCTTGTACCCAACAATGAATATAAGAGCTTTCAAACATTGAGCTCTGTTTTGGCTTGACAAGAATGACAACTTATTTAATACCCAAACTTCAAAATAAATCGTAGATCGAGCCTTATAACATTTTTCATTTTAAGAGTTTCTGGCCATACATTTTACTGCTGTTTATTATACCTATTTGTTCGTGTTTCACCACCATACTTGTCGTTTTCGAGTTCGTTTCGTTTGTCTCATATTGTCTCCAGTCAAAAGCAATATTATAATATATGTACTAATTTATCCGTCGCGTTTGCGTGACATGTTTTTCTATTACATTTTGGAGTTGGATAATATGATTAGATAAGTGAACCGTTATTTGCGCTTTTTTAAAGACATTTATTTATGCGTTAATGTATTTAGTGTATAAAAAGGTCATTGCCAGAGGGTTAGATTAGAGAAATATCATCATCTTGTTTCCTTTGTTCATCATGTAACCTTCTTTTTCATTTCATTTCATTTATCTTCTTTCTCTCTCTTCTATTCCCATATCACCCCATCACCACCGTGTAACTCCATTGATGTTAATTCAGATTAAACAAAATTATACGGAACAAAAGTGTTGTGCACTTATTTTATAGTCCTTTTTTCACTCGATGATGCTGATGTATTTGTTGAGGTTTACAAAGTCCATCCACATTAAAAATGTGTCCTTGGTGAGAAATGCTCAACCGGAAGTTTTAAGTGGAACGTATGTTGTTTTCTTATCACAATACTTTTTTTCCTACTGAAGGAAACAAAAGAAGATATATTTGATTAATGGCGTGTATAATTGAACTGAAAATGAATGCAATGATTCGCTTGAGCACAGAAGATAGAGTGGAGGGACCTGGGCCGTAGATGTAATGTGTACAAGATTCGATACGCG